TATGATCTATCCTTATAATTTAAGCCCTTTACAAGCTTACAACCATCTTTTTATCTTATTTTCTATTTTTCACATATATCAATATTTCCCAAGATACGTTATAGGCATTACTAGAAAGAGAAGTGTTTTGTTATCAGATAAGCTTGTGAAATACTGGATTGAACAAAATAAAGCAAATTTATTTCTGAGCTTTCTGAGCTTCTTAGTTCCTTTAAGAATGCTAATATACACTGTAAATCTTGTTAATACTAATGCAGTGTAAGTCTTCAATCTGGTATAATTGTGCCAAACTTAATTACCAGGAAATGCTTTTGTTTTCTATGGCATCTTTAAGGCGAAAGTGAAACTTTCCCTGACTATTTGCAGTTTGGTAAATTCCTTTAACAGTTATTCTGGCCTGCCTTCTGTTAGTATCCTTATTTAACAATGAATCTTGATCTCTGAGTAGATACGGAGCTCCTCTAGACTAGGATGTCTATATTCCAACTTTTTCTACAACACTGCGAACAGAATCTCTCAGTTAGCTCCCAGAAGAATAGAATGAATAGTTGAATTTTGAGAAAAAAGATAAGGCATACAAACAGCACGGTTTTGGGAAGAGAAACATAACTGGAGGGTGGCTGAGAAGAGGACAGACAGGTGATCATTCAACAGACACTTTGGAGAGTTATAAAGTGTTTGAACCTTAGGTGAGTACTAGATATTACAAAAAGGACTTAAAAGTGGTCCTCTTGACAGGGAGTTTGACCTGGTAGAAGAGATAGATGATGATAGATAGATAGATAGATAGATAGATAGATAGATAGATGATAGATAGATAATTGTAACAAATACGAATCCTCTTATTGGATACATGAAAGGTTTTGCATGATGGTGTCAGTAAAGACTTCACAGCCCCAGCCGGTTTGGCCTGCAGACTGAAGGATCCCAGGTTCAATTCTGGTCAAGGGCACCTGCCCCGGTTGGTTGTGGGCTTGATCCCCAGTAGGGGCTGTGCAGGAGGCAGCCAATCAATGATTCTCATCATTGATGTTTCTATCTCTCTCTCCCTCTCCCTTCCTCTTTGAAATCAATAAAAATATATTCTAAAAAAATATATATTTTTAAAAATCAATGGAAAAATATCCTCAGGTGAGGATTAAAAATATTAAAATAAAATAAACCAAGAAAGACTTCACAAAGGAGGTAATATTTGATCTGGGCCTTGAAAAATATGCGTAGGAATTAATATCAAGCAAACAAAGAAGTGGGCAGAGAAAAAAAATCTTAAATTAGAATGTTATGAGCAAATGTATGGAGGTATAAAAATACAAGACTAAGCCTTAAGTCTAGTTTGGTTATCTTCTGAATGCGCAATATGGGAGCATGATCTGGGAAGTGACTAGAGAGCAATCTGAAAAGGCAGACTGGATTCCAGTTGATAGGCCGGACTTATGCCATGCAAAGATCTTTAGGTTTGAAGGATTTTCTTCCTTTTTGTTGAAGGATTTTAAGCAAAAGAGTAACATGATAGATAACCTTTAGAACTGGAATTTGGATTGGAGTGGGGAATAAGAAGACCAGATAGTAGTTCCTTGCAGTTGTCTGGCCAAGAAGTGACATGGGTTTGAATTAGGCCAGGGAAAAGAAGATAGTAAGGGTACAGTTTATTGTGACAACTTGACCCATATCTCCCACCCTTACACGTGCTCAGGGTTAATTTGTAAATGAAGTTACCTGGCCTGGAGCTTGGAAGTACAGAAACACATTTCTTTATTTTTTAAAGTTTACCTTTATGGTTGAAACTATTACAGATGTTCCCCCCTTTTTTCCCCATTGACCCCGCTCGCTCCTAGGCCTTCAGCCACACTATTGTTTGTGTCCATGGGTTTTGCATATATGCATATAAGTTCTTTGGTTAATCTCTCTCCCACACACACACCTTCCCTCTGAGATTCGTCAGTCTGTAGGAACACTTTTAACTACCAGGGGCTGTTGGAACATAATCAAATTCATACTAATGAGATGTTCCCCACCAGGGCTGAAGTTAGGTAATGTTGTGGTCTAGCCTTTCACACATTCATACTAATGAGATGTTCCCCACCAGGGCTGAAGTTACGTAATGTTGTGGTCTAGCCTTTCACACATTATGATGTTTTTGAAGACTTAGGAAATTAACAAAATTAGTAAAAATGGTATGAACTTAAGGGGGAAAAGGTATGCACCTGTATTCTTCGAAACATATACATAATTTCCTGCATCTTCTATTTAGCTTCTAATTAAGCAAACCTGAATGCTTGATTAAGCTGAGAGCAGGGTAGGGGAGAGGTTCCAGTGTGAGACCTGGGAGAAAAGAAATAAGATGGTCAAGGCAGATTTGGCCTCTCAAGGATAAGGGTTTTTTCAACTACCTGGGGAAGAAGATTGCCCTATTTAGAACTTAGAAGTTTACCCCTAAAGTGGTTTTATACAAAATTTTAGGATTAAGCGATAGTACCTGACATATATTGTAAGCCAAATAGGTACATGGATAAGTTTAAAAGATTGCTTTAGGGCAGAGTAATGGCCCAGGAGAAGAGCTAGAATGCCCTGGGGAAAAGTAAAAAACCTAAGCAGAAAAAGGTCTCTATCATTCATTCAACATAGGTATTTTAGACATAAATTAGAGTGCTAGACCCTGGAGATTAAAAAATGGATGGTACTTTTCCTTGAGTGTAGTCTGATTGGGGAAGTATGCACGTAAACAGATGATTACAATATAATGTGATAAATATTATGAAGTAATTGTGTTTCTCTAGGGGCCTCTCAAGGTATACCCATGCCAGAGTCAATTGCAGCCTCGAACCATTGCCCAGCCTCCTGACCTGTGAGCACTGAAGGCGTTGTACAGTGTGTATGTGTGTGGGGGGGAGTGTAATTGTGCACAGGCATGAAGTAGGTAACCAGCTGCCTGGAGATGTTATGTAGATTTTACAGAGATGATGACATTTGAGCTGGTTTTTACATGGATAAGTATTTTCCAGGGCAAGAAGTAAAAAGGGGTCATTTCTAGACAGAAGGAATAGAGTGTACAAAGGCAAGGAAGTAGAACAATAACAACAAAAGTGCTATGATTTTATGCCATTCCTGTCAGGGCAAGATTTCAAATGCAGTTTCAGAACATGTTTAGTAACACTTGAAGGTGGCAAGCACCTATACCTCCATTTTGGGGATAAAAGCTAATGTTTGTAGATTTTAATTAGCACAATGTCATACAGTTATAAGGAGCAAGGAGCTCAGACCAGGCGCCCAAAAACAGGAATGCCAAATCTTGTGCCCTGAGTAATTCTGTGTCATGGTAATAGATTGCGTTGGGTTCATGAGTATTTGGGTTTATTTTACTTGCTTAGAACCAAATTCTACACCCAAAATTGATATTTTAAGTCCTATCAAATGTTCTTATTTTTCAAGAAGAGGTTGGGGAATCTGTTAATAAATATTTACTCCCACCATGTAAGGTAGGAATGGATTATGAAATATTCAAGGCTTCCTGACTGGTAGTCTGTCTAATCTGTATCATCAGAAGTTGGCTTAATATTTTTCTGAGATCATCCAGTACCTTTCCCATTTAACAAACAATAGCAAGCAAGTCACTTTCTTCAGTAAAAACATTGTTTATCTTTAGTAGTTATTTTGCAGGTAGATTTTCTTAGAACTCCTACAGGATATGAATCATTTGCAATCATTTGCTCTTTCTGAGAAGGGTTTTCATAGAGCATATATTATATAACATAGATGATATCTTGTTATTGATAGTTTCAGTATCATCCTCAAATCAACTTCAGAATCTATGATAAACCTGAGAATTTGAGTTTCTCTTATCTAACGTACATTCAAATAAATAAACCATAGGATAAATTCAAGAAAACATGATTAGCCTTTTGTGTAAGTGAGGTTTTTGGTTTTTGCAGGAGAGCGTGGAATAGGAGACAACAAAACCCAAATGGTAATACCTAATCCTGCAGTCATTGACCTGTCAAAAAATTGTGTGAAATTTAACAACTGCTGTTTTTCATTTGTTTCTTTAAATTACTTTAATTTTTGTAAACAAGTGTCCACTTGTTAGTGTAACCTGAGCATTTAGTTGACATATTTAGAATTAGAAAGACTAATAGTTGTAAATATATTGTATTGTTTATGGGAGAGTAAGTCTTGGTAAATAAACATGAGTTATAAGAAACAGTTTGATGCTGGTGCTGATACATTCTTGAATTGCCCATCTTTATTGAGAATATGGGTCAGAAGAGAGGGGAGGAGATATGGCCTTATTTCTGTATTAATTAATGACATAGATGAGTGATATTCTTGGATTATGGAGCCTGTCAAGAAAGAAGATATTTCAAAGTAAATATTTGAGGAGAGATGAGAGAGAGAGAGTAGAGAGAGAGAAAAAGAGGGAGAGGAGAAAAAAATGTATAGAAAGATAATGTGAGCTTTCATCAGAAGTTAACCATGAATCCATCTATAGCTATGTCTCAGGCTGTGGTCAGACCAGCTTCACTTTGGAACTTAAAAATGAAAACGTATACTTGCTTTAGTTTTTGCTATGGCTTTTTATTTTACAAATGTTCTGTCCCTTGTGTAAACAAATTCTAACCTCTTTAAATATAGCAAACCATCGGAAGGAAATCGTTTTGTACCTTGTTATTTATGAAACTTGCCGAGGCAAACTGCTCCTAAAGCAGCTTAAACTATGACTGGATATATGCTAGAAATTCAGGTGAAATATGACCCCCCCCCTATTTTTTTCAGGAAATAAATGATTTGTGTTTTTAGAATTTCAAGAAGAAATTTACTTTCTCACACAGCATATGTTTTACAGTTTGTTAGGCACACTTGTGCGTGCGTGTGTTTTTCTTTACATCACAGGTGGTGGTGGGAGTGCCAGTGTTACTCCACTGAACTGATGAATGTCTGTCTGTCTTGGTTAGATCATTCTTACCTTACTGATATCTCTTCCTATTTTCTATTTCCTTACCCAGTTATGCTGTTATTGCCTATGGCTGTGCCAGCTGCCCAAAACTGACCTGTGGGAGGGAAGGCTGCCAGACTGAGTTCTGCTACCACTGTAAGCAAATATGGCATCCAAATCAGACATGCGATATGGCCCGTCAGCAGAGGGCACAGACTTTTCGAGTACGGACCAAGCACACTTCGGGTCTCAGTTACGGACAAGAATCGGGACCAGGTATAAATTGATATTTTCTCATTTGTCTCTTTATTTTATAGTTCATAATGTGAGCCCAAAGCTGGGAGAAATTATGTTACTGTGTAACGAAGTATTTCCTGGGATCAGAGATCAGAAGATATTTGGCAATACTTTTCAATATTATAATTGATATGTAGCTTCCCTCAATGACCATAATAGGTTACCCAACTCGGATAAAATCGAATACAACAAAATTAAATTCTCTGGTTTCTGCCTTCTTAGTAATATGTCCAGGTTGGAGAGCAATTAGGTCCTTTTACTGGAAGCTTTTTCAAAACTTTAATTGTGCGCAAAGAGATATTTAATTAGTGTTTTAATCTGTAATGTTTTCCTACTAGCTTTAAGTGCATCACACTTTTGGAAGTAGGGTGCAGATCGAAAGACAGGAAATATTAGTATGGATTAATGATTAACCTTAAAAGTAGGAATATCACACATTCAGTTCCAACCTTTACAAGTCAGAGAAAACATTTTAAAATGTCAGTGGATTTATTGCCTTTTATAAATGTACTTACTTCACTGACGTCATTTGGGAGAGGCTAGTAGGAAAGATTTTATCATTCACTTTTTCCTGGCACAGCATAATCTCCTCAAATTGTCATTTTATAGGATAGTTCCTAGCTTGCTGTGAAGATTGCCAGGTGTATGCTACATAGCATACCCCATTGTTTTTAGGTTTTTAATTTGAAAGAATCTTGGGAAGGGACCATGGTTGCGGTAAGAGCAAATCACAATGAAACTTGCTGAGTCCAAGAAATGAGTTTCCTGAACTAAAGTTTTTCAAAACTTAAAGGCCAATTCCAGTCTGCAAACTATTCTTCCTGCTCGACTCTACTTTTAATTCTGCCAGCCTTTTGGCTGATGAAATTCCATTTTTCTTGAAACCATCTTTCTCTAGGGAAGTCTCCTTGCTGAGATTATGGCTCAAGTGGTGTGTAAGATGCCAGTTTTTGGGATAGGCAGCTTGATACAAGACAGGATTCATTTAATGAAATTTCCTGAGGTCTAGACATAGCCAGCCTTCCAGTGAAGTGGGTTGCACAATTTGGAATTCTCAGTCAAGAGTTCTTCACTGCCTCCTTTTTTATATATACTCCTATGATTAATAGAGTCTAACAAGGTTTAACTGGAGTTGTTTTTCTGCTTATTCCTACCACCCCCCTCCCCCGCCGCCCCTTAGCAGATGACATCAAGCCATGCCCACGATGTAGTGCTTACATTATCAAGATGAATGATGGAAGCTGTAATCATATGACCTGTGCAGTATGTGGCTGTGAATTCTGTTGGCTTTGTATGAAAGAGATCTCAGACTTACATTACCTCAGGTGAGTTGAAAAATGTGTTCATTGCTTTTATAGTCTTGTTCTCTTACTGACTGAGGGAAAAGGATGTCAAAAAGATATATATATTGTTGTCTGTCGTGTCATTACGCGTAAGGAGACTGTAATAAAGTTCCTCTGAAGCGCCTTTCCAATCATGTTTTTTCCAACTCAGCAAACTTCCAGGGACTGTTTCCATTACCTTCAAGATAGAGTTCAATTTTCCTAGCTTGGCTTTTAAGGCTTTCCAAGTTTGGCCCTAATCTACTTTTTTGCTTTTTCCATTTTGCTTTCATACATGCTATATTCCAGATACATAATCTAGGCTTGTGTTCCCTGTCTCTTTCTGTGCTACCTTTCCTCTCCATACTTCTTCACAAAGTTCTTTACTTTGCCTGGAATGCTTTCTGATCACCTCTCCCAGAAACCCTATTTTTTAAAAATGTGTTTTTGTTTATTTTTATTTATTTATTTTTTAGAGAGGGGAAGGGAGAGGGGGGAGAGAGAAACTTCAATGTGAGAGAGAAACAGCGATCAGTTGCTTCCTGCACGCACCCTAATCAGGGATCAAACCCGCAACCTGGGCATGTGTCCTGATCAGGAATCAAACCCACAATCCTTTGGTGCGCAGGACGACGCTCAACCAACTGAGCCACACTGGCCAGGGCACGAGCAACCCTATGTTATCTCAACCTGTTCAGTTCTTACTCACTCTTCAAGGGCCACTTAAATGGTATTTCATCTGTGATGCCTTCCTCGGCCTTTTCTGCCTCATTTTTCATTGATAGTCCTTAAATGTTTCTTTATGAATGTCATCATTACTTTCACTTCATGTACATGTCTGCTTTTGCTAAACTATATTAATTCTTAAGGCTAGAGTTACCTTTTTCTAGTTCATTGCATGTATAAGTTTTCAAAGAATTTATTGAGTGAATATTAAAATATTGTCCTGAAGGAGTTAATATTTACAAATTTAATACTTGTGTGGATGAAACACTTTAATTTCTAGTTTAGCAAACATTTGAGTACTTATAGTCTACCAATTAATAGGGATACAAGGGTGGATAAGATATGATCCCTACTTTCAAAATTGCTTATCCCATCTGGTAGAGAAGACAGGACAAAGGAAGAAAGCAAAAATGGTTGAACTTGCCCTAGCCAGTTTGGCTCAGTGGATAGAGTGTCGGCCTGCAGACTGAAGGGTCCCAGATTCGATTTCAGTCAGGGCACATAACCTCGGTTGCAGGCTCCTCCTCAACCCAGGCCCTGGTCAGGATGCGTGCAGGAGGCAACCAATTGATGTGTTGCTCTCATATCGATATTTCTTTGTGTCTTTCCATCTCTCTTCCACTCTCTCTAAAAATCAATGGAAAAATATCCTTGGTGAGGATTTAGAAAAAAATGGTTGGACTCAAAAGGGGTGAGTGTAAAAGTAGCCAAACTCAGAGTATAAAACTGACAAAAAGGCTGTGACACTGTATTTTTATGTCCATTCCTAGAAATATGGTTTGCAATATCTGTTGGATGTAGTAGGACATATGCCAAGAAAACTTTGCAAATTAGAGTGTTCAGTAGCTGCGAGGCACAATGCAGTTTGAATGAGGTGTCAAGTGTGTAGGTTATGCAAGATCCCAAGTATTATCAGTCAAGAAAGCTGGGTCAGTGTTGGTGGGTTAGGGAGGACAGAATTCAGAAAAGAAAAGAGATTTCCAGTCTGGAGGTCTGCCTTTGCAAAAAATAATAAAGTGCCCAGAGCTACAGTAGTCTGGCCTTGTGCTTTGTTCCCTCGTGTAATATATTCATTTCCTGTAACTTCTTATAACTGTTAACCACTCCTATTGAAAAGAAGGTTCTTGCTCTTATCAAGCCCTCTGGTGACAACAGCTGCATTTATTTGTAATATTGACATTAACTTCAACGTTTCCTCTGTAGCCCCTCTGGCTGCACATTTTGGGGCAAGAAGCCATGGAGCCGTAAGAAGAAAATTCTTTGGCAGCTGGGCACGTTGATTGGTGCTCCAGTGGGAATTTCCCTCATTGCTGGCATTGCCATCCCTGCCATGGTCATCGGCATTCCTGTTTATGTTGGCAGGAAGGTAAGACATTGAGTTCTGTGCATGTTCCATTTTCAGGTTTGTTGGTAAAGGTTTGAAGGAAATGGGGGTGGGGGGACTTATGTTTCAGAGCTGCCTGAAAACCATCTGGTTCTTGGATAAAAATAAACTTAATTTCTTAAATGGATTTTCATAAACCCCCAAGAGATCTGAAAGTTCTTATTAATATCCTGGGCCTGGTTTGTCCCAGTCTGTGACTTAAAGGTGAAATGCTTACTTCATCCTCCTGAGTTATTTTTCTCTTCTTGGTTTAACTTTCTCTATATTCATTTATATCATCCTCATCTTATTAGGTTAAAAGTGAGAAAGACGCTTCTTTAGGGTGGAGGATATGTTTTAATATAAATAACTTATATGAGGGATATTCACTTGTTCTTATACTTCCTTGGCAAAAAGATTGATGTCCTAACCTGTTTACCTGGATTTTTTTCTTATTCTTAGATTCATAGCAGGTATGAGGGAAGGAAAACCTCCAAACATAAGAGGAATTTGGCTATCACAGGAGGAGTGACTTTGTCGGTCATTGCATCCCCAGTTATTGCTGCAGTTAGTGTTGGTAAGAAGCTGGCCAGGACCATGACTCCACTCTTCCCTCTCTTCTCCTCTCTTCCTCCGCATCAGCTTTCTAACTATAGCAATGCAACCAACTGGCCAGATGTTTCACCCTGGAGGCCCCTGTATTTTATACCAATCCCACCTTGGGAGTTAATTCTATTAGGTACTATTATTATGATTATCAACCACACTAAATTATCAGAGTTGGGAAATCTTTCAGAGAAGGTTGAATTAAAGAATATTACTTTAAGGCCTAGTTTTTTACTTTTAGCTTCTTTTTTTTCTCCACTTGCAATGGAACCCACAAAACAAATTACTTTTATTTTGATTTGCTTAGTGCCTCACACTATTTTGGGGAAGCATGAGGATTTGTTTCAGAATAATAGTAATGTAACTAACATTTATTGAGTCTCTCCATGTACCAGAAGCAGTTCTGAGTTTCGTATATATTAATTCATTTAATCCTTACAGCAGCATAATTGTTAACAGGAAGGGGCAGTAGTTTGCCCAAGCCAACTTAACAGAGACATAAGTGAAGGCACTCTGACTTCTGAGCCTATGCTCTTAACCAAGCCAGCCTGCCTCACAAAGCAGTAAGAGTTTGGAATTAACACTGGGGTGATCCTAACCCCAAGAGTCACTTGTTTAGGGTTTGGTTATTGATTTGTTTTTGGATTAGCACTTCAGCAGGGGGAAAGTTAAAGCAACATACACTTATTGTGCTGCGCACTGTACATACATCCCCTTTTGATCGTTGACAGCCCTGGGAAGGTGTGTCCAAGGTCATATGGTTAGTAAATTGTAGCCAAGATTTTAATCCAAGCCTTTCTGATTCTAAGGCCAGTTGTCATTCTGTTAGGACCAGTCTGCCTCTTTGGGATAGCCATCTCCTGCCTTTCCTTGGCCCTTTCTAAAGTGGTTTGTCTGTGCTCAGACTGGGAAGGAGGATTTAGGACAGTTGCAACCTGATGGCCTGCTGACATGTTTCCTTCTCTTCCTCCAGGTATTGGTGTCCCCATTATGCTGGCTTACGTCTATGGGGTGGTGCCCATTTCTCTCTGTCGTGGAGGTGGTTGTGGAGTTAGCACGGCCAATGGAAAGGGAGTGAAAATTGAGTTTGATGAAGATGATGGCCCAATCACAGGTAAAAGGAGGATTTTCATTCCCTTTGGAATTTATGGAACACAAGATAAAAATCAGTAAAATTCAGCACATTCACAGAGAGATTGCTATTGGATTACTTCAGATAATGAGCTTTTTAGGGGGTAAAGTATTTTTAGCTTTTCATTTCTTTGTTCCAGAGTTATTAGGTTAATTCCTCTGATACTTGCTTCTGTGTGGCAGGTACAAACTTGTAGGATTCCAAGTACCCTAGTAATAGTAGTGATTATAATAAAGTCTTAAATCTGCACAGTACTTTATAATTTTCAGAGGACCTTACACAGTTATTATCTCACTTGGTTTCTTACAACAGCTTTCAAAAGAGAAAGGGTGGGAGTTCTTATTCCCCATTTAATGGGAACTTCTTTAAGCTTTTGTCTCAACATCTATTAAATGGGTTTAAGAGCTTCTTCAGAGCTGGGATCAGAGCAAGTCTTCTGACTTCTACTTTAATGTTTCCACTTTATCACAGAGTTCTCCACAGGTTTTTCAAGCTTCCTACTAGAATCAGCACATGACCTAAATTGTATTTTGAAATCTTCACGTTTGATTAGCTGGCATCTATGGTGTATTGGAATGAATAATAGACTTGGAATCAAAATTTTTGTTTTGTGTGACTAGCCATGATGTGGACAAGTTATTTAGTTCTAAGCTTTTGTTCCCCTAAAATTGGGGCTATTAGTGCCTAGTTATTGGAGAAATTATATACAAACTAGAGGCCCTGTGCACGAATTCGTGCACGGGTGGGGTCCAGCAGCCCACCCTGATTGGGGGCGGGGCTGGCTGGGGGAGGGGCCACAGCAGTTGGCCAGTTGGCCCCACCCCCTGGTCGAACTCCTGGTGGAACTCCCAGACGGGATAATTTGCATATTAGCTTTTTATTATATAGGATATGTAGTAAAACCCCTGGTGTTTGGTGGCTGCACATAGTAGCTGCTCATTAACTAAATAGATAAGTATTTTTCTATGTGAATATTTTCTAGTCTGAAGAGTTATTGCAGAAAAATGCCAGACTGTTGATGCTGGGCTATCTTGAATTGAGATCTTGGTTTCCATTCCCAGTGGCAGATGCCTGGCGAGCCCTTAAGAATCCCAGCATTGGAGAAAGTAGCATTGAAGGTCTGACCAGTGTTTTGAGCACCAGTGGAAGCCCTACAGATGGACTCAGTGTTATGCAGGGCCCATACAGCGAGACAGCCAGCTTTGCAGCCCTCTCAGGGGGCACCCTGAGTGGTGGCATCCTTTCCACTGGCAAGGGAAAATACAGCAGGTAAGCAATAGGTAATTTCTGACAGAACCAGTTGGAATTACAACACAGCATTACCTGTATGAGCCATTTTTCTGTGCCAGGCATGTCCCATGTATCATCTTATTTTGATTTAATCATCGGTGGGGTTTTTTTTGTGTTTTGTTTTTTTTAACAATTAGAAAACAGACTCAGAAAGGTTAAGTGACTTATAAAAGTTCAGTGTTCTTTCCACTTATTCCATGTAAAGAATAATAGTTAGATCCTCCCTCTACTATATTAGGCTGCCTGATTCATAAAGGGAAAGTGCGCTTTTTTTGTAGAATTTCCAAGACTTTGTTCTCCATTAGGCTGAACAGTATTGTCACTGGCCTTCAGTTGAGCAGCATTTATGCTGTATCTTGTTGCCTTATAGGTGCTGTCATCTTCATTACCTTGCTATTCCCATTTGGTAGATAAAGAAAATCAATTCTGTGAACTTGTGTTGAGAATATGTAAAACTTTATGACTAAAAGTTGCGACTTGCTTGGTTATTTCACCAGTTAGACAAATGAGAACATATTTAGAGGAACTTAACAGCTGTTACATGAGAAGCAATTAGTTGAATGCACTGGAGACGGAGGCCCAGGGAGGCCTGGGAGGGGTTGGGGCAAAGCTAAATAAGTTAGGGAGGCAGGGGAGATGGTTGCCTTCAGGTATCTGAAGGGCCTTGAGCTGGAAAAAAGAATTAAACTTCTGACTCATGCCAAGAGGTAGGTTAAGATGACATGGCTAGAGGGAAACCGATTTTGTTTCAGTATAGAGCAGTGGTTCTCAACCTTGGCTGCACATTAGAATCACCTGGAAAAATCAGGATTTAAAAAAGATTCCCAGGGTATTCTAATGTGCAGCCAAGATTGAGAACCACTGGTATAGAGACTATAGGGAACATCTCTGTAAGAGTCCAAAGAAGGAATGGATTACCTTAGTAAATACTTAGCTACCTATCCTTGGAAGTGTTTAAAGTGAGACCAGATGGCCATTTGGCTATTAGGAGTTAAGCAACAGATGGCAGATGGTCTGGATCCCACACCTGAGTGCTTGTCAGTCACCTGGGAGCCTGTTAAAAATAGATTTCAGGGCCCTGTCCCAGAATTAGTAAATTAGAATCTCCTAATCTCCTAGAGCAGTGGTCGGCAAACTCATTAGTCAACAGAGCCAAATATCAACAGTACAACGATTGAAATTTCTTTTGAGAGCCAAATTTTTTAAACTTAAACTATATAGGTAGGTACATTGTTATTAACTTAATTAGGGTACTCCTAAGGCTTAGGAAGAGCCACACTCAAGGGGCCAAAAAGCCGCATGTGGCCCGCGAGCCGCAGTTTGCCGACCACAGTCCTAGAATGGGACTTAGGGGCTGTATTTTGAAAAGGCCTGGGAGGGGTGGGGGTGAAGCAAAACAAGTTCAGGAGGTAGGGGAGAAGGTTGTCTTCTATCATAGTCATTGCACGAACAAGCACCTGAGCACCACCTAGATCGATGGTCTTCATGAAAGGCCTCTTCCAGCCGAGGGGGAGTGTGTGGCAGAGCTGAGGCTTCCCCATTGCACGGCCTCGTTTTCCTGGGCTGTGCAGTGTTGAGGGGCACCTGAAGCTGGAGCAGCACACGGAAGGAGCAGGCGGCAGGCTGGAGGCTGTTTGGATGTGCAGCTGCAGGCTGCTGCTGACCCATCTGCGTCTCATGACTGGTTGTCTCTTTGTTAGGGGATCCCGCCCCCACATTCTGGAGAATTCACTGCTGTGCTTTCTTAAAACCAACACCCCTATAAATAAGCAGACAGTCATCATTGGAGACTGACTTGCTGAAACTGCAGCTTAGCCAGTCCAGCTGTTCCAGTTCTGTGAAAGCTTTCTGTAGGAAGTGAATGAGTCAGAGGGTTTGACTGTGAAACCTATTATGAGGAAATACTTAAGTGTACAACAAAATGGTATTGGAGCCAAGAAAGGAAGTAGGTATGGGTTCTTAGCTCTGAGACACCATTGGAAAGGTTTGCTGCTCTTGTAGGAGGTTGGCTGTATGTCCTTTAATTTCATAGCTTGGGGGTAATTTGCTAAATGTTTGAGTTCCTAGTATGTGTAAAACATGAGGGTAAAGTGAATGAGATGTAGTCTTTCCTTTTTGGAGCCTCAGATGACTGGGAGAGAAATGTGTAAATTGATTAATAAATAGGTGTTGTAGGAGCACTTAGCAGGAAGTGACTGGGAGAGAGAGGGAAGATGGTACTTTCTTTGTTAAGGACGGGGTATGAGTTTGTCATCTTGAGAAAGGAAATTTCCAGAGAGTGGGAATAGCATGTGCAAAGTTATGGAGATATAAAATGTGTGTAGGGGCCTGGCCAGTGTGGCTTAGTGGTTGAATGTTGACCTGTGAACCAGGAGGTTAGGGTTTGATTCCCAGTCAGGGCACATGCCCAGATTGTGGGCTCGGTCACCAGTATGTGGTGTGCAGGAGGCAGCCAAACAATGATTCTCTCTCATCATTGATATTTCTATCAGTCTCTCCCTCTCTCTTCTCTGAAATTAATTTTTTAAAATATGTATAGGTGTGTAAGGAAAATAAATCCCGAGTGATTATGACTTGAGACCTGTGATGAGAGAGGAGCTGGAGAAAGAGCTTGGAGGCAGATCAGGGAGACCTTAAATGCCTGTTGTCAATAGGGAACCAAAAGAGGACTTGTTCGCGTGATCAGATCTTTGTCCGCATTGGCACTGATCTGGAAGTACTTTAACGTGGACTTAGGGCTACTGCAGAGGGTGCCCAATTTCAGTTATCCAAAAGATATTGAAGGCCTGAAGTTAAGCAGTGCAGTGGGGACAGAAAGGAGGGGACGATTTCAATAGATATTTAAGAGAGAAAGTGTGTGAGCATCTACCTTGAGCTGTTTGACAATTGGAGAAGATCAGATCAACTCAATTTACAAGAGAATAATGGAAGAGCTGTGTGCCAGGAAGCAGACTGTCTTGGAATACCCAGGTCTCATATTAACTTGAACGTCCCCTCTTTACACAGGTTAGAAGTCCAAGCCGATGTCCAAAAGGAAATTTTCCCCAAAGACACAGCCAGTCTTGGTGCAATTAGTGACAACGCAAGTACTCGTGCTATGGCCGGTTCCATAATCAGTTCCTACAACCCACAGGACAGGTATGTGACCAGTCAGATGCCCAAGAGAAGCTGCATTTTGGGGTCAGGTACTAGGCCTTTAGAAGCTCAATGCCTATGTTAGAGCTCTGTGCACCATCTAGTGGGATGTATAGTGTGTGTACCTGGTGACCTCGTTGAGCAAGTTCTTGGCAGCTCTTGATTGATTCTCTTAGCACTTAATTTTTAGAGGTTTTTTCTTTCCTTTTTTCCCCCTTCTCTTGGCTTTTGCAACAGTATAACTATTCATGTGGAACTTTTGAGAGTTAGATTGGTGTTCATTGATGTTTGTAGGTCTATGGGTTTCTGCTCTCATGTTGCCCTTTGCTTGATGTGGCTCCTGTAGCCTATTTCTCTCTATTTTGGAGAAGCTGGTATGGTATGGTCGCAGCACTCCCTTCTGAGGAGTTTCTGGTTTCTTCTAATTGTGGCGCAGTAGTAAAAAGCTATGCATCTTCTTTCACTTTCACATTTGGGTAAGATAGTATGAGGCTCTGACACTTAGTTAATTTTAGAAGTACTTTTTTAGTTTAAAAAAATTGGCAGATCCCTGGCAGGTGTGTGGCTCGGTTGGTTAGAGCGTTGTCCCATGCACTGGAAGGCCATGGGTTCGATTTCCGGTCAGGGCACATACCTAAGTTGTGGTCTGATCACTGGTTGGGGTGTGTACAGGAGGCAACCAATCGATGTATCTCTCTCACATCGATGTTTCTCTCCCCACCCCCCTCTCCATTCCTCCCTCCTCTCTAAAATCAATAAGAAAAAGAAAACTGGGTGATGACAAACTTATTTTATTTTTAAAGAAATTGGCAGAGGTGTATGTGTGTGTGTGTTTTAAATCAACAAAAATGATCTAATTGTTCTTCATCTTGAGTGTTAGGTTAAATTTTTATTTTCGCTAAAAGTGAGCTCTAGTCTGTTTACCTATGTTTTTTTACTTCCTAATCCTGAACCCACAAACTGCTTTTACCAACAGGTATAGCATGACCCATGCATGACTCAGCATAGTGGGTTTTGTTTCCACAGAGAATGCAACAATATGGAAATACAAGTGGACATTGAAGCCAAACCAAGCCACTATCAGCTGGTGAGTGGAAGCAGCACAGAGGACTCGCTCCATGTTCATGCTCAGATGGCGGAGAATGAAGAAGAAAGTGGTGGTGGCAGCAATGAAGAGGATCTCCCCTGCAAACACCAAAGCTGTGAACAGAAAGACTGCCTGGCCAGCAAACCTTGGGACATCAGCCTGGCCCAGCCCGAGAGCATCCGCAGTGACCTGGAGAGCTCAGATACGCAATCAGATGATGTGCCAGATCTCACTTCAGATGAGTGCGGCTCCCCTCGCTCCCATACTGCAGCCTGCCCCTCGACTCCCAGAGCCCAAGGTGCGCCGAGCCCAAGTGCCCATATGAACCTCTCTGCCCCAGCTGAGGGGAAGACTGTGTTGAAGCCAGAAGGTGCAGAAGCCAGAGTATGAAGTGGAATGAATGCTCCTGTTCCGAGAAGCACACTTGTTGTAACTGCATCTTTTGAAATCTTTTTTTTGGGGGGTGGGGATGGAGATTTATGTATTTTATTTCAAAGATTCTCTGGTCACAGGTTTTACCCAGGGAAATTCTGAGAAATTTGCAGTTTCTTACAGATAAAACATGGGAAATTTTGCCCTTAGTCCCACAGCCCACCCTTCCCCTTTTTTAAGTTTTAATTTATTGGTTAAACTAATGGTGGCAATCCGTGAGGTGTGTCAAAGAGTGTACAGATGTATGTGTGTATATTGTATGTATGCTAACTTTACTGAAGGACACGTTTTAATAAAGATTTCTGTTGTAATTCAGCTCATCTCGTTCCTTGGCTTGGGTAGTCCTACAGAGCCAAGGGTTTGAAACAGACCACTACTTCTTTAACAGTCTCTAGATCTGACTGTTCCTAATCTCAGGAAAAAAGGATTATATTCTAATCAGACTGCAGTGGAGTCATCTATAACTAGGGATTCCTAGCATTATAGGAAACAAGCCAGGCTTCTTTTGGACTGTGTAGTCAGACTGAAGAATTAGCTGAGTCAGCCAAATAAAGAAGCTGTAGATTGAAATGAACCTCGTTTGCCCTCTAGAGGCAGCTGTGCAGTCTTCCTGTTAGAATTTTATTTACCCTTTTCTGTATTGTAGTCACTACTAGAAATGTGTTTCCAGACGAGGGAAGGATGGAGTGGCAATTTAGTGGCTCTTCAGAGAGATCCCAGTGAATATTGCAGAATTATAAATTGGGAAACAGTATTCTTACTGGAAGAAGAAATGTACTGATTCTGCATAATCTAATCACTAAGCAATAACCTCAGTGTTTGTTAGCTATCAGGTACACATTCCATGTTTCAAAAGCTTTCTCGAGTTTCACAAAGTTAGTTTAAGAGGGACTAAGGAATCTGACTAAAATTTGTCGTGAAAGGACAGAGAAGAAATGCCATCAAAATCTCAACATACTTAATTTTATCTGATCTTATAAATTTGTCAGAATTGAGCTAAATTGGTACTACTTCGGATTTTGGCTCTGTCTAGAATAATGGTCTAAGAAATGAACACTCATGCACAAGTATAGCAGAGAAAGTTAAAGATTCATGAGACGTGATATAAGATTCCAAATTTGGCAGTAACTTACTTTGTGATTGTGTGAGATGGCAGAGATTTCTTGCCCTTAATTTCTCTGGCTCAGACGGTATTTAAGAAATTTCCAGTGCCAAACTCCTCTAGCACTTTAGCCCTGGGCCCAGAGGAAGAATTGCAAACATCCTTTCCCTGAGGACCAGATAGCTTTCTGTTTCCTTTCGCAGATGCACCTGCTCTTTGTCTTCCTGGCCTGTGCTTTTCTACAATGAGGATGATGAGTCTGGACAACAGCCAACCTGGAAGATTCTTTTCTCTTGGGCATTGCAGCCAGACTTAGCACATTTCCCTGCACCTGGAACTGGAAATGCTGTCAGTGGACTTTGGGTCTTTGGAAAAAGGCACCCTACAAGGTGTCCACGTGTGAAAAAAGAAGCTGTTGGGGAAAAAGGCAGACAATCTGAAATGCCAATTATTAACTCTCCACTTGCAATTCTCTTGAAGCCTCAGGAGAGCAATTAACTTGGATGAAATCAAGGAAGTCTGTTGGAGGGGCAGGAGTTTGCAGCCAAACCTGTATTCTTACCTGGGCCCCACTTCTTATAGCTGTGAAACTTTTGCAACTTACTCTGAGTCTGTTTTCACTTCGCCGAAATGGGGATAATAGTTCTAATTATGGGGTTGTAAAGATTGAGATGGTGTACTGAAAATGCTTTTGGTAAGACCTCATGCTTTTTCCTCTTGCAGGAATAAGAAATAAGGTTGTCTTCTAAGAAAAGCCCAAAACTCTAGACCAGAGGCCACGGAAAACTAAATTTATTCTAATCCTTTGCAACACTCCAGTTGTGTCTTCTAGACGTTAGCAGATGAAAGACCCTTCGCCACCACTCGGAGACCAGGAGTAATGCACCGGGAAAGTTGGTCCAGTTATCTATTTATTTTTATTGACTTGAGGGAGGGAGAGAGACAAACATTGACTTCTTGTTGCCCTGACCGGGGACCAAACCCACAACTTTGGCATACCAGGATGATGCTCTACCCAACTGAGCTACCCACCCAGGACCTAAAAGTGGGTCAGTTTAGTACGTAGGGAATGTTTTAAGTAGAGCTTTCATTCATATCTGCTATGTTTCAGGTATACTATGCATTAATGAGGAAAACAAAGGTCTGTCCCCATGGAACTAACATAGTGGGGAAAGGTGATCAGATTCATTATCTGGATGAGGGTAAATGCACTAAAGAAAACAAAGCAGGGAAAGTGAAGAGAGTTGCAGGTGGTGCTACTTTAGATGGATAGTATAGGCCTCTTCAACAAGGTAACATTTTATTAGAGTCCTGAGTGGAGTGAGAACCATGTGATACCAAGCATGAGGAATAAAGTACAAAGGCCCTTTGGTAGAGCATCCTTAATCTGTTTACTTACACACACACACAACATACAGGCCTGTATGGCTGGAACAAAGTGGACCAAGGAGGAGAGTAGTAGATTAGGTTGACTGGCTGGGAACAAGATGTGTAGATTAGCAAAACAACTCTGAAGACAAGGAAATGTTAGGTTCCTCTCAGGCCAGGAAGAGATAATCTTCAAAGCCAGACAGATGGGCTCTTGTGGTCAACTTTCAAAGGGGCCAATGCTGAAAGGGCATGTCTGGTCACAAGTCCTACTTGGACCAATGGGAAGAAACTGGATATGGGAAATGGATACTTACTTATTCCAACCTCTTTCTAATGTACTTTTTGGGACCTAAAAGGTCTCTGTGATCTACTAGTTAGAATAGAGGCTTATGGGGTATTAATGGGTTGAATTGTGTCCCCCAAAATATGTTGGGAGTTCTAACCCCAATACCTCAGAATTTAACCTTATTTGGAAATAGGGTTGTTGCAGGTGTAATTAAGATGAGGTCATACTGGAGTAGGATGGGCCCCTAATCCAATATGATTGGTGCCATATAAAAAAGGGAAATTTGGACACAGAAACACTCACAGAGAGAACACCATGTGAAGATGAAGGCAGAGATCGGGATGATAACAGAAGAAGCCAAGGCGTGCCAAAGATTGCCAGCGAAACGTCCAGAAGCTAGGAGAGAGGTATGGAACAGATTCTCCTATATAGTTCTCAGAAGGAACCAACCCTGCAGACACCTTAATCTTGGACTTTTAACCTCCAGAACTGTGAAATAATAAAGTAGTGTTTAAGCCACCCAATTTGTGGTGCTTTATTACAGCATACCTAGCAAACTAATACATAGGGGTCAAGTAATTTATTCTTTTAAATGTATTTTTATTGATTTCAGAGAGAAAAGGAGAGGGAGAGAGAGATAGAAACATCAATGATGAGAGAGAATCATTGATCAGCTGCCTACTGCATGCCCCCTACTGGGGATCGAGCCTGCAACCTGGGCATTTGCCCTGCCCGTGACCAGTTCATAGGTCGACATTCAACCATTGAGCCGCTGCGGGTGGGCAGGGGTCAAGTAATTTAAAAGGAATTTTGGCCTGGGTCTGTCCCACATATCCATCCCATTATTATTTCCCAGTTCCTGTAATTACAGTTGTAATAGACATACTTGGCAACTGGCAGAACCTTCACACTGACACATAGTGTGAAAGCTGTGTAAGAAGAACAAAGGGAAGTCCCCAGAACTGTTCTTCCCCACCAGAATCATAAGCCAAAAGCCACAGTGCAACCCTGAGGGAATAGTAGATATTACCACCACCATCAGAGACTGAGAAATTCAGGAGTGGTGACCCCTATCTGTTCACATTTAAGTCATTTGCCCTGTACAGGACTTGGCTTGTAGCTGTTCTTTCAGGTACCTCTTTGTAAAGCAAATCAGCATGTCGCTGGCACCTGCAGCCATGCGACTATTGACCTGGAATATGCTTTTCCCCTCCAGCCCAAAGAGCAGAAAACATGAAACGCAGATTACTTTCACCTGCAGGGTCAGCAGTCCATCTTGCTGTTGTACATCTGGCTTATGTCCGCTCTCCGGCTCTGTTGAAATCTCATCTGCAGGCACTTTATCATCTCACATTTCACAGCAGGACATGACTCGACATGTGATGACATGTTTTTGGGTCTAATAAGATGTGGCAGGTATGTAAATGCCTTGTTTAAAAAAAAAACACGTGTGTTTTAGAGGGTAGGCAATACTCCTGTGAAACTTTCAACTCCGTGGAGTTTCTAGGGATCCGGAGGAGTCTGGAACATGGCAGGTAATCTGAAGTGAAGGATGAGCTGTTGCACTGCACACCCCCCACCACTAAGAAAACGTCTGAGCATTTGATGGATCGCTTTTGATCTTAGAGTTCACATACCACATTTGGTTATGCTGCACTGACCTGTTTATCAAGTAATCCATAAGGCCACCAGCTTTGATGGGCCCCCAGAAAGAGAATGGCCAGCAGTGAGTACAGGCTGCAAGGTAAGCAGTTTGGTTTTATGACCTAGCAGATCCAGTGGTGTGCAAAGTCCTTGGCAAATAAGGATACAGGATACACGCTGTGGCAAACTTCCATAAGCGAATCGCAGCACAGAGCCTTATGATTTTGGAGTGAAGCCACGCTATTTCCGGCAATGGCTGTTCTCTCACTACTGAGCCCTGCTCCATGCTCTGAGGGGACCAGCTGGGCACTCAGTAGCAGTTAGATTATATCAGATCCCTTCCATCATAGAGGAAGCAGCAATTTCTCCTCACTGGAAAAGACATTCACTCAAGATATGGATTGTTTCCATGCATGCCAAGCCTAAAATATTCACAAAGAAATTTTAAACAGAAAAGTCCCAATTATTATAAAACCAAGCATTTCCCCCACCCCCTATTATTCTAAATGTGGTTATCTGTTCACATTGAGAAGCATAGTGGCTCAGAGGACAGACTCCAGAACCAGCATGTCTGGGTAGGGATTCTAACTCCACTGTTTAAGTGTCTTTGGACCTTGGGCAAATTATTTAACCTCTCTATTTCAGTTTCTTCATTTGGGACTGAGAATTAAATAAATACATATAATGCCTGGTCTGTAGTAAGTTCTGTATGTATTAACTAGTATCCATTTCATTTATTATCATGATCATCAGCATTATTATCTATAAACTTCCTGAATGTCTTATTCACCATGTGGTGTTCCACACAACACTGCCTCTCATCCAGGGAGGCAATGGGCTAAGACCCACGGAATCAAACTAAAGCAGCTGGCCCTACAGAATAGTCAAATGGCTTACAAATGGTTTACAATTCTCAACAACCACAAGAGAAATACATTCACCAGGGCACATAACAAGTCCATCGACTAGAAGTCTTCTGCCCAGTTTGGGCTCCTCATCCACTGAGCCAATAGCCTAAAAGGGGGCAGTTGTGTTAGGTGGAGCGATTGACCCTGATTCCCAGGGAAACAGGTTGCTGTTGCTCATTGAGGGATTGGAAGGGGTATGCCTGGAACCCGAAGGACCCTCTGGAGCTACTTCTAGTACTACTACCATATTTAGGAGAAAAAGTTCTAAAGGCTAGACCACTAAGGGCTCAGTTCCTTTAGGAATAAAGATTTGGGTCATCATACCAATACTGAGGTGCTAGCTGGGAGACAAGGAACTTAGAATGGGCAATGGAGAAAGAAAGTTATGGATATAAATAATTCATGAGAACTTGAGAGAGAAATGAGGACTACATTAGTATTTCATGTTTTCCTTGCTGTAGTGTGTCTATGTTTTATAGCTACCACCCATTTCTTCCCCACCTCCCACATGTTCCCTAGTATTGTAAGGTGTCTTATTGTTGGTAACTTGATAATGTAGCCCTTAGGTTACAGGTTGTTGAGGTAGAATTGTGACTGAACCGAATGGACATCACCCATAGATGGATGCATCACTAATAGGATTTTTAATCTCTCCTTTAAGAGATTAAAAGGAGGGGGTTTATTATTTTTTAAATATTAATATATTTTTATATTTACTATCTTTTACTTCTTTTTTAAAAATATGTTTTCATTTGATTTTTTAGAGAGAGATGAAAGGAGAGGGAGAGAGATGGTAGAAATATCGATGAGAGAGAAGCATCAACATCTGAGAGAGAAACACCTGATTTGTTGTATTAAGTCCTTTTCTGCTTAAAAATAGAGTGGTTTCTGTTCCCTGACTGAGAAATAGCACAACTTGAAACCTTTGAGCCAGGATATAACTTGTCATTTTGCTAGAGCTGATGTGCAGCCAAACTATAATAATAATAAATTCCTGGAAAGTCAGATTTGGAAGCACCTTTGAAGACTAACTGGTCCAACTCCTTCTTTTGTAAAATGGAAGAAGAAAATTGAGACACAAGTCAGAAGACAAAAAAAAAAAATGCTGATGCTGAGTGACTGCAACTCCCTCAGCCTCCTCCCGAGGCCGGCAGACCTGAACTGTCTTCACGAATCACTGTGATCTAGGTCATGGAGATCCAGTGCGGCCAGCCCTGCCAGCCTTACTGCAGCTGACTGGACACAGAATTTGGGCCCCAGCCAAATGCTGCCGTGAACAACCTAGATGTGATGGAGGCCAACCCCCTGTGTGGGACTGTCTGGTACGGGAGACATAAGTGCTAGGAGCATACCCAGAGCATGTCGCCTGACGTCGCCAGACCATTGTCCCTGTTCTCCAGGGACCTGTTAGTCTTCAAAGGTGCTTCCAAGTCTGACTTTCCAGGAATTTAAAATCAGTGATGGCTTCCCTGATACCTCACTTCCTCTGTGTCCCTGCCATCGCCCCATTACCAAAAGTTATCTGAACATGGCTCTTTCTTGTACACGTAAGAAGCTCATGAACTTACCCAAACATGGCTACTGGTTTCCTGGAGATCACAGCCAGATCAAAAAAGAAGCAAGCTAATAAAATTAAAATTAAATCCATTACTGCTATACTAAAAAAAAAACAATGGAGGCGGAGGAGGAAGCCACAACCCAGATCTGGAACTCCAGATATCTTGCTCCCTCCACTCTGACATGGCTGTCTCACATGCAGATATGAGAGAGAGGGCTTCATGCACGGAGGGCGACAGTGAGCGAAGACTGCTGGCACTGTGTGCTTGGATTCTGAGGCCTGGGCTGTCATCAGAAGGATCCAGCAAGGGCAGGGTCACTGTCCCTCCTCTTAACCTGCATTGGAGATGCTGCTTCACTTGACCTTTGTGGCCTGCCTTTGTGAGCCACACCGGTCAGGCTATTTTGCACTTTGAATGCATCCATTATTCATTCATGATTTTGTAACATCTTGTATTGGTCTCTTGGAAAACATTGATTCACTGAGTGGTACAGATCTTCCAAATGTTGAATTTTCCAAAAGTCTTTTTTTTCATTCAAAAGCTCAAATTTTATCATTGGCAGCAAATATTTTCAATATTTCTCCTTGAATTGACAGGCTCACTTCCTTCATTTTAGAGAAAATGTCTGCAGAAACCCACATTTGCATAAGCTTAGTGTATCTTTCAATCAGGAGAAATGGTGTTCATGAAAAGAAGCAGCTAGTTCAGCTTGCAACTCAAACAATGGCACAGGTGCTTCTCCTGGAGACAACCATGGTACTTAGGCAGCCAGCAGAATGCTTCCGTTCTGTCAAAATATTTAAAAGAAGTATACCCAGGGGTAGAAATGTAATAGAGTTAATGATTTTTACTGTTTCATCACGTCATTCTCAAGTGAAACTGGCATATTTATTTCTCATACTGTGTGCACATGGCAGTGACAATACAATGACTACATCTATAGCTCAGAGCCGCTGCCTTCCTTTGTGCTAAGGGGCCAGCTGTTTTACTCATCATTGCCTTTCCACCATCAAAAAAGCAAAAGAACATCAAAGTAGATTAAGAAAATAATTTTGACTTCACAGATCCTCTGAAAAGGTCTTTGAGAACCCTCATGGGTTCCCAGACCATACTTTGAGAACCATGGATTTAATGCTCTATTCTTCAGTTAATGCCTACCATGTGACTGTTCTAGGCGCTGAATATTGAGTGGTGAGCTATATATGAGATACTTAGGGCCTCTGTTCTTAATGTTCTTGTTATGTCCTTTGAAGCAAAAAAGTTTTTCATTTTGATGAAGTCAGATTTATCTGTGGTTGTTTGTGCTTTTGGTGTCATACCTAAGAAAGCATTGCTTAATCCAAGGTCACAAGGGTTTATGCCTACGTTTTCTTCTAAGAGTTTTATAGTTTTAGTTCTTACACTTTGAGTTAATTTTTGTATATGGTATGAGGTAGGGGTCCAACCTCATTCTTTTTTGTTGTTGTTGTTTTTGTTTTTGTTGTTAATCTTCAACTGAAGATATTTTTTCCACTGATTTTTAGAGAGCGTAGAAGAGAGGAAGGAAATGGTGGAGGGGAGAGAGAGAAAAAGAGAGGGAAAGAGAGAGAGAAACATTAATGTGAAAGACACATTGATTGGTTGCCTCCCCTATATACTCCTACTGAAGCCAGGGATTGAACCTGCAACCCAGGTATGTGCCCTTGACCGGGAATTGAACCTACGACCCTTCAGTGCTCAGGCCAATGCTCTAACCACTAAGTGACACCAGCCAGGGTCCAATCTCATTCTTTGGCATGTGGATACCCAGTTGTCCCAGCTACATTTGTTGGTAACTGTTTTTCTCCCTTAAATCATCTTGGTACCCTTGTCAAAAATCAGTTGATCATATGTGTATTTTTATTTCTGGTTTCTTTATTGGACTCACCATTTCATTCCTCTCATCTGTATGTCTATTCTTATGCCAGTACCACATTGTATTGATTACTGTAGATTTGTAGTACATTTTGAAATTGGGAAGTGTGATTGTTTCTTTTTACGGTTATTTTGGCTATCCTGGATCTTTTGCATTTCCATATGATTTTAGGATCAACTTGTGAATTTCTATTTTTAAAAAAAGCATTTGAGAGGGTTTGCATTCAATTTGTAGATCAGTTTGGGAAGAATTGTCATCCTAACAACATTAAACCTTACAATCCAAGAGCCCCAGATACCTTTCCATTTATTTGTCTTCTTTACTTTCTTTTGTGTTACTTCTGATGTTAAGCAGAAGAGTAATGTGATCTGGTTTATATGTTAGGAAGATCACTTGGTCGTGTAAAAAAACAACTGGGGACAAGAGATGCTCCATGAACAAGGGCAAGGGCAGGAATAGCGGGGACAAAGAGCAAGGCACTTGTTATAGAAACATTTATGATGTGAATCAGCAGGGCCCGATAACTGACTTTATACAGAAAGAGACGGAGTAAAGAATGGGTCCCAGGCTTTGGCTTAAGTACACAATGATGCCATCAACCGAGACAGAAAATACACGAGAAGCAGTTTAGGAGAAAAGATGAAGCCATCAATTGGTACATGTTGAGCTTGAGGTGACTGAGGGACACACAGGTGGAGAGATAAGGTGATTGGATACTTGAGTCTGATGCTCAGGGGAGCTGTCTAGGTGAGGGACAGTGATTTGAGAATCACCATATAAAAAGGGAACCACAACAAGGCATGAACCAACCAATGCAAACAAGAAAGGAAGCAGAAACGATGCAAAGGAATACCAATGCTTAAAGGTCGAGCTGATGACAAAAAGCCCACAGAGGAGACTGAGAAGGAACAACCAGAGAGGTAGGAGGAAAACCAGGAAAGAGGTGCTTCCACTGGATTCAGGGGAGTGATATCCTGGTGACCTAGACAAGGGCTCTTCCAGCAGAGAGCTGAACCACATTGCTGTGGACTGAGGAGGAGGTGGGAGTGGAGAGGATGGAGACAGCATGTAAGCTAATCCACTCTGGAGGTTTGGAAGGGAACGGAAAGGAAATGCAAAGGAAGTAACTAAAAATGCAAAGGGAGTCGAAAGAGGGTGTGTTCTTGTAGGATGAAGAGACTTGGGCATGTTTATAGGCCAGTGGGAAGGACAGCAGAAAGAGGAAGGATGTGGGATGGAGAGTGTCCATGTGGGGCTGGAGGAGCGACTGGGAGAATAAGGTAAGGAGGTAAATGGGTTTAAAATAGTGCTTTCCAAATTGTAATGTGTATTAGAATCACATCTCTCAAATCTCTCCTCTGCTCTCCATCTCCACAGCCACTATCCTGGTCCAAGTCCAAGTCCCCTACACTTCTCATCTCCCACCTGAACAACTGAACTGGCCTTCAAGTGCTCAACCTTGTGGTGTAGGTTCGGTGATGAAGAGGCCAGCAGGGTGCTAACTGAACAGCAGAAAAGAGAATGGGCCAGTGGCCTCTGTGAAGTCAGGAAATGAGGCAGTGGGCGTCAGGAGATGGGCATGCTGTGCCTTTAGGGATGCTTGAGGTTGGGATGTCAGAGGGGGGTTGTTCAAGGCATGACCCAGAGAGGATGGCTGGGGTCATGATGAAGGTCCCTGAGGAGGGTCGTTCACATGGATGAGCAGGACCTGCGCACAGATTGCCTGATGGAAATCTGGAAACCCAAGTCTTTGATGGATGGAGGTGGGTGACAGGGAGGGAGACACGTAAGGTGCTGAGAAGGACTGGCAGAGTAAAGCCGGGTGGCAGGAGTCTCAAGAACAAAATGATAGACGCACATAGGGAAACCTTCCCAATGTGAACGGTGGTGTTCTGTGAGGGCAGAGAGGATTGTGGGTAGTTCTGATTTCTTCTTTATACTTTCCTGTTTGCCTCTCAAGTTTTCTACAATGAGTTGTTGTTTTTTTGAAATGTAAAAGTTACAAAAAATAACAAACACCCTTATTCACACCATCTAGAATTTGTAATTGTAAACACATAAAAGTTCCCTTAACTGCCTCCTCTTCTCAGACAAGCATGATCAGTTGGCTTTCAGCTTTTGTGCATGTATATATATACTAAATTGGAATATGGTAGGGTTTGCGTGTGACTGTTTTAGTTACATGGAGGAACTGTTATTGTAATGGGGGGGAGGCCTTTTTTCAGGTGAGGAGGGGGTGCACAGGGACAGAAGCCTGAACCAACACCCCCAGCTGAGCAGCCCTGGGAAGACCCAGCCTCCCGTCTATGCCACACCTGGTTGTTAAATGTTCCAGGAAGAGAGAGAATTACTACTTATATTTCTCTGGCTGGGTTCCAATCCATTCTCATATCCCTCAAAGCGTTATGCCTCCAAAATCTGGGAGGCAGGAAAGGCAGTCCTTATCTCTATTTGACAGATGGGGAAACTGAGGCCCAGGGAATGACAGTGAGCTGCCAGCGTGTCACGGGGAGTTGGTAGAGGACAAGTGACTAGAGCTGTGGCCGGGGTTCTTCCTGGAACCTAAAGCCGGTGTGCAGAGGGTTGGGCAGAGGCAAGGGGCACTGGGTGGCTCGGACTAATGGACTTTGACCAATTGGCAATAAGGAAGAGAAACGGCAATAACTTCAGGCAGCTAAGGCTGGGCCCTAACCAGGAACTTGTGTCTGGGGAGAAACAGGTGTACAGTTCTCCCTCCTCAGGGCCCTAGAAAGCAGGCCCCCTCCCTGAGGGCTATGGCTCCCCACGGTCCCCAACCACACTCAGAAGTCAGGGCAGCCTTCACAGTTAGGCCTGATTCAAGTCTCGGCTCTACCGCTGAGCCCTTTACCTTCTGCCTCACTTTTCTCATCTGTGAAATGGGTGATAATCTTTCCCTCTCAGGATTGTTCCAGCCCATACCAGCTCCTGGTTGTCACTTTGGTGCTGTTACTTGCTATTAGAAACAGCTTGTCCATAAACATCATTAGAGGCGTGTGTCCCTTTGCACTCTTGGTGTGCAGGGGAAAGACCTAGAAGTGGAATTGCTGGGTCTGACCATTTACAATACAGATGAGTCCTGCCCACCCGCCCAACGATGAGGCCGTCCACAGGGACATCAGCATTCAGATGCCAGCCGATGGCTTGGGAACTGTCCCCGTCTCTCTCTCACCTCACACGCTTTTCTTCCCACCTGCACCTGTCGTGCGTTGTCCCCCTTCAGACAGCGCCTGACAGGGCAGCAGTCTGCCTGACCGTGGTGGCCTGCGATGTCACAGGGCTTCCGGGCCGGCCAGAGGCCCCACTCCCTCCTGTGGTGTGACTGTGCTCCCTTAACTCCCCAGAGGCTCTGGGTGTGCTGACCCAGGGGTCCCACACAGGGCACACAGTGGGCCCGGGTACAGCTGTGCCCCAGGCCCCCACTTCAGTGATGCCCACTTTACAGATGGAAACTGAAGCTCAGAGGAGCGAGGGAGCGGGAGAGGGGGGTCGTGCGCATATTCGCTGGGTGATTGTGGTCAAGGTGAAGGCTGGGAATCCTCCTCTTCCTAGAGGGTGGGGAGCGCAGCAGTGGGCGGCAGAAGGCACTGCCTGGGGGACAGGGTCTGTCCTTAGGGTGACCTCAGGCAAATTGCTTTCTCTCTGTTCCCGGCCTGTTTACCTTTGTCTACGGGGATAATAATGTCTGCCCCCTAAGCTCGTGGTGAGATAAAATAAGAAAATGCTTTGAAAACTCTCTAGAGACCCTTTAAAAGTGTAGGCCTGGCAGGAGCACATAGTAGGGACTTTACCAGTCCTGGCTGTAGTTTAGGAGCCCCTTCATTGT